AAGTGTCAACTTTGCACTAAAAGGGTAATTATTTACCAAATGACACTTCATGACAACAGTCACAGACATTCACAAAGACTCCTTCGTGTTCATAACAGCTGTTATGCCATGTTTATGACAGTGTCATATCAGTCTTATGCACACCCCTTCAAATAAAGCGTTACCAAAAATCTGTGTGATGGTTTATTTATGAGGAAATTCTCACACAAACGCAGTGACATGAGATGGTTTCAGAATGTAGAGAGAAGTAATTTCCAGATAAGAGTCTGCAATATGTCTAGCTGAGCAGCTATGTTATACCAGAAAACGCAAATACCATAAACACTGAGCAGTCGGTTCATAAATTAATCACACAAGAAAAAGCATCACAAGCACATGCTCTTTATTCAACATCCATGATAACCTTCTGGTGAAAAAAAAAACAACAACTCACTCTATATATGATCTACTTGTGGAGAATGTTGGGCTCATTTTACTCCAATTATTAGTGCAAAGCACATTAAAGGAGCGCTAATAAAACGTGCTGCAGTTAAGACTGAGGAATCTGAAGCAGGAGATTGTAAATCCTTCCCTCCGACCGGCACGCTGAGGTGAACGGTGCTTCACTTGGGAAATGAGCGCCGCCGTATCAACGGTCCGAAGCTCATAAAACCCTCCAACTCTGAACCGCACGTCCGGGCCGTAAAAGAATCACCTGCAGAGTTTTTTGGAACTACTTTCAGCCGCACACATCAATCAAGTCTCAGTTTGGCGCTCACACTGGCATGATTAACATTTTTTTTTTCCTCTTTTTATTATTGGAATTTAATTTGCCAAGATAAAGTTGCAGCGATTAATCTTGTTCTTCCCACGCATCCCCACCACTAAGAACGAGCCTACACGTTTCTCTGCTCCCCCCCCCCCCGCCAGACGAAAGTTTTGGGATCCAACAACATCATTGTTCAATTTGTGCACTTCAAGGTCAAACGTTGTAGGATTGCTGTAGAATTTTAAGATGGAGATTTAACTAGTGATCAGTCTCACAGTTCAAGACTGAGACCCACAGCAATGAAATAGTTAGAAAGTATTACCAGAGTTTTCAAAAGGATGTTGAAAAAAATGTGTAGAGGTCTGAGCCTGTGTGTGTGTCTGTTTGTTCTGCTTAGTTTTTTCTAACCCATGTCTTAAATAATACACAGACATATAAGGCGATGCACAAGATTTTTTTTTTCTTTTTTTCTCTCTCTCCCAAACTGTCCTAGGTTTATATGTACTTTGTTTATATGAATATGAAAATAAAAATCATGGGATATTTCTGCTTTTTAAGTTGTAACTCCGTGTTGTTGACCGAAAAAAAAAATAAAGAATTCAGTAAATAAATCACTATCTGTCAGAGCAGGATCACGAAAGCATCTGCACACAGTGGTTCTGTGTTCAACTGTTTAATCTAAAGTTTGACTAAATTGTCAGGAAATTGCAGAAAAAAATAAAAATAATATATATATATATATATATATATATATATATATATAAAACAAAACCCAGCAACATAAAAATGAGACTTTTACAAAAACAACAAAACAAAAGCTCTAGGAGCTGCATGAAATTAATCAAAATTGCTCAAATTGAAATTACAAACATAAATTTGCTTAATGGAAATTAAAATAAACTTTTTTTTTATCAAACGTTTTTGCATGAGGATGAGGTCATTTTTCGGTCGTATTGAAAGAGATGTATTTCTCAACGGAAACACTTTATGCACCAGACGAGTCAAATGATCAACAGCTGCTGGCAAAAACCACAAAGACGACAAGTAGTAGAAGTAGTAGGATTACAATGGTTTTTTTTTTTTCTTCTTTTTTGGAGAATGTGCAGCTGGCTCCACCAGAGCTCTCACAGCACCGCACGCTTCATAAAAAGTTGTGTGTCATTCCAACGTGTTGAATCCACAACTCTTCTGCAAAATCACAAGACTGCAATTTCCCAAAACTGGCGCAGCCACTCCTTACTGGAAAGTGTTTATCGCTGCAACGTCTCAATAAGACACCGACTTCTCCTCTGATGGCCGATACATGATGAGCGCTAGCAACATGGCCGAATTACGAATGTATCCTGTGTAACTGTTTACATCCGTCGCTGCCATAATTTTTAATGACTTTAGCATGAACAGACATATTCACGTGTCAATTCCACTTCCCATTTAATGGAAACAATGTAATTGCGAAATTGCTTGTTTTTCGACAAGAGCAGAACATAGACAAAGATTTGCGCGCATTTGTAGCTGAGATTCAGACTCAGCTCTACTGACACTAACTACTGAGTAATTTTGACTTTCAGAGAGAGCCTAGTCAAAGGAGCCTGAACAGAGCTGCTCTCATTCTCCAGCTGTGAGACATGTAGACCCCCTTCTTCCCCATCTGTCAGCATCAGTTAGCCACAACTTCCCCGGACATCGCAACCACGACCCTCACTGCAGCGACAAACTCATACCACACACTTCTGTAATAGCTCTCATTTCCCTGCTATTGTCCCGGCGTGGCCAGCGGCCAATGAAGAACATCTGACACACAAGTCGAACGAGGAAGCGCAGCTAATTCGAGTCTGTTTGGATCGCACCGTTCGCCTCACCTCCTTCCTGTTACCGTTCTCAAGGTTTTGTTTTTTTTTCTTCTTCTTCTCTTTCTTCGTTCTTACTTATTGCAGCAATTACAACATTTCTCGCATTCCCTCCTCCTTTCTTTTCACCCTTTTGGCAAGCGGCGCGAGCATGTTGGTCAGGTCTCCTCGGTGTTCCCGCGCCAAAGCTGACAAAACAAATTGGAGGCGGCAACCGTGATCTGACGGAGCAAAAGGAACGGCGAGAGGAGGGGGGCAGCGGCTGAGACTCCGCACAGGGCGTGCCATTGTTTCCCAACCACCGATGGATTTTGGCAGCTGTCAGGCCTTTTCTTTCCGAAAACCCGGAGAGCCTTCCTGCTCTGGCAGAGGTCGAACAGAAGAGGCATTTTGCTGTGAAAATAAGAAGAGTTTGTGCGTCGTGCCGACCCGGAGTGGAAGCCGCGCCGAAGGGGGAACTGAGGGAGGGGAGCTCTGACGTCCGCTCGGTACGGTTTCTCTGAAAATGGTGACTCACCCACGCTTACTGGAAACGTTTTTCGATAAAGTGGACACGGAACTTTATACGGAGATAATAGGCCGGCCGCTCGCAGTTTAATTCTGTTTCATTTCAAAACGTGGACGAGCGTTTGGGATTTTGGGGCTCGGAATCCAGAGCAACACTTGTTTCCATTGGCTTTGCGGCCAATAACCCAGACAGGAAGCAGAAAATGATACCAAATGACAGCACATTTTCCACTGCGCGTCCGCTCCATTTTTTATATTTTTTTGTGTGTGTTGCGCGTAAGAGGTCTGCGGGTTGGGTTTCTTAATCTGAAATACATTCGGAGTTTTTTCAGTTTTTCACATTATTTCCCACTGACCCCTGAACTTACATTAAATTCAGATTAATGAGCCTAATTAGTAAGTTTCTACATGAATATAGACCCGATAACCCATAACCAACAGCTCTCTGTTTTTGCAAAACGTGTCAGCGTTTAAAATTGAGTTGCAAACTACATAATTTGAAGTTCCAGATGTGTTCTAAAGGAAACCGATAATTTTGAGTGGCCTGTTAAACACTTAAATTTATAGATGGCCAATAACAGTTATTTGGAGGAGGATTACAGCCAATGAAAAAAATGTGGCTTTTTTTTTCTTTCAGAACTCTGATTTTAAATGCAGGATACCGACTTTATTCACAGAATTCTGACTTAAATCTCAAAGTTTAGATTTTTTTTTTCCTCTGTATTTTGACTTTTAATTTCTGCTTTCAATTCCGTAGAAAGTTAATGTCTCAGAATTACGACTTTTGATCTCAGAAGGTCTTGATGGGGTTAGAGTCAGGAAATTCTGGGAAAAAGTCAAAATTCTGATACTGTGCTCAGAATTCAGGGATAAAGTCAGAAATATTACTTTTTTTCTGAGAATTTGGATTAATAGTCTGAGATCAAAAATCAGAATTTAGAGGACAAATTTTTGAAATTTCAGCTGTCAGAGAGCATGACTCAATGCAGGTTAGACAGTCTACAGGGCCAAAACTGCAACGATCTCCAATCCACCCAAAGGGACTGAGTGGCGACTTCTCAAACCTGAGAAGTTTGAGAAAAGTGATGAAGCAATATAGAAGAACAAGGACTTTCCGAACAAAAGGAACATCCAAATTTTAAACTGATAAGGACACTGTGCACCAAGCTACGAAATGCTCCTTTCACAAACTGATAGAAAACACACAACTGGAAGATGAAAACCAGAAGCATGGAAAAAGATGAAGAATACGTCAGTCACATAAAATCACCCTTCTCATGCTGAAGGGAACATGTGTTGTTATTGTGTTTCTGTGACACACGAGGTAATGAAGACAACTCCAAAAGCTCTCTCCACAGCTGGTTGAAATAGGACAGTAGGCTAACAATGACTTGCAGAAGTTTAGGGGTTTTGGGTGAGGAGCAACAACTTAGCAAAAAACGGGCTTATTTTAGTCAACGCTCATTCATTCTACTCAGTATCTGGCCTGTGTTTCAGTGCCTCCTGAAGACGCGTCTTTCTAAGGCGATCCTCTTCGAATCTGCAGTCTCCGAGCTAGTCTCAGCTCCTTCAGACTAGCCACGAGCAGCAGCACCTGGTGGAACTTCACATCTGCTGAGAAATTCTGGGTTTTTTTTGTTGTTTTTTTTTTTTAACATTAGCAGAATATTGACAAAGATTTGCCTACATTCGTACTGTCTCGAGTAGCTCGTTTTAGCAACAGCTAGTTTTCAATTAAAGAATTGCACTTTTATGCACACACATGCTCAATTCAAATTGATGGAGGCACGATAAAGGAGCCGTTCTCCGGCCTTGCTGCAGTGTGGGTAATGGTGTAATAGGTAAACAGCCTTCTTTATCTCTAAAGGGAAAGGATAGGACACCAGGAGACAGATGCATAGGGCAACGGAGACAGCCAACTCGCTTTAATATCGTTAGCTGCATGTCCGCTTTCATTCGTTACTGGGACGGAAGAGAGCACCGTGTGTGTATGTGTGTGTATTGTGTCAGAGAAAAAGGAGAAAGCAAAAGAG